CATTTGATTCTATTCCTTCTCAAAAAGAGATTTGATTTGATTGTTGAGGATAAAGATAGAGTCATAGAGATTCATCCTCTTTTAATTCTACTCTTTCGTGAGATAAAGAAGAAAAGGATTCTAGGAGATATTCTTTTATTTTAGGTGCTTAGTGACCAAGACAACTAGCACATAAATTGAGGGTTTGGTTGAATAGGAGAAGTACGTTGGTTGCTCATTTTATGTTTTCTCTAATGAGAGTATTTTTTATGAAGTTATGTTAATGGTGTCCATTTTTTATTCATGAGAATATCAATTTGTAGGAATTTGAGTTCTTGTTGGGGTCTTTAAGATCTTGCAGAGATCGTTTTATCAAGTGCTTTTTTGATAGATTGTTTTAAAACTATTTTTCTTGTTTAAATACAATTGTATGGGAGAGGGTATGTCTTTTCTAAGACATGAGTTTTTCAAATTCATGTGTGTGTTCATGAGTTCATTTGGGGGGTTTTATTCTCTGTGGGTTTATTTTGCTTTGGGTTAAGTATTCAAGTAATATTTGTGTTGATTGCGTATTAATCTTGGTTGCGGAGAATACTAATTCAATAGTATTGCTCTGGTTGAGCATTGATTGCACCTACATATCTTGAGTCTCTTGAGGAGTGATTGCTTAAAACTATTAAATAGTTTTCTTGTTCTTTTGTGGGTGGTTATTTTATTTCAATCTTCCGTATGTTATACGTGTCTTCCTTGGTTTGAGTTAAAAAAATATAGGCTCTTAGATAACGATAATTTCTACTGTGATTTTTCCGCACTCCTTTGAGTTTCACGAGATGGACAACTTATTTTCGTACTTTTTATTTGACACTTAATTTGGTTTGGGGGAGAAGGGCTACAATTGATGTCCTCCATTAATTATGTAAATGCTATGCTAGAAAATTGTACTTTTCTAGAGGAGTTCGAGACATTTTCGGAGAAAAAAGGAAAAAAAAAAAAAGAAGAGGAGTTTGAGATTTTGAGTTGCTTCCTCTGTTAATAACAATGCTTTAGTTAGGAAATTTTCTTTCATAAAAAGATCTCGTATGAATTTCGTACATTCTTAAAAAACAACATTGGTGTGTTGAGATATCCTGGTAAATTTAATAAAGTCCCCTTCTTGTTATGGGTCTATAATACTCATTTGGGCTTTAGATATCCACGAATCGTTAGAGTCCCTTTGTAGGATTTGATGTCACTCTATGTAGTGGCCTAAAAAGAATGGGAAGAACGGTTATTCATCATAAAGGCAACAATCAACTAAAATAGCAGCCACATAAACCAGCCCATTAGGGTTTCACCGCACCGCTTTGTATACCATCCTACCATTTCTCTATGTTATTCATTCTCTGATACCGCATCGCCATGCCTCCTTCCTCATCTCCTTTCTCATCTTCAAGGTTGTCGCATCACGGGACCACTATTACTTTGACAATGTTTACTAATGAAGAAGTACTCCCTGCTCTCTGTTTTGTATCTGATTCTCATGAAACCTTCAAACATGAAGATGATTGGTGTCCTTATAGAAATGTCACGAACAATAAGGTGGATAAAATTGTGGAGGTGAAAAGGCAAGGTAAAGGGTATGCTCCTATATATGCTGCCGCTAGAGAAATGTTGATCAATGCGACTAGATTACAAATGATTTGAAGAAATGTAATCATATGTTCAATTATCCTCAACAGGCCGCCGAGTACATTAGTAGGGTGTTTGACTGGTTGGTTGAGGAAGATAAAAAATAGTTGAAGAGGAAGAGAAGTGAAAGAAAATCCAAAAGGAAGAGGAGTGAAGTGGAAAAGAAATCAGATTGGTTAAAAGCTAAGGTGGTTATTGTTGGTCCAAGAGCTTCTAGTGGTCCAGAGGGATTTGTGGTTACTGGTTATGGCAGGATTCTGAAGGTTGATGATTTTCACACATGTGGGTCTGGGGGCGATGTTGCAAGGGATAATATTAAGGCCAATTACAATGAGCAAATGAAGACTCATGATTGTTGTGAAATGACCTGACGGGCCATCTGCTGGAGTGCTTCTGAATTCCCGAGCACCGGGGGGCTATTTACACTTGATGTACATGACTAAGTTGGTTACGAGCAACTACTTCTCTCTTGATTTTGAGAACATGAATATCTCGATGTGGAACAGATATTCTTATGGGAACGAGATCCCTACTGTGGTTTCCCATCAAAACTCTTTTTTTTTGGTATCATGTTGTCAAACCAAAAAAGAACCATGTTGTCCCCTAGAGAATGAGTTGAAAGGCCCCCTTTGAAAAACCAGAAATTGCATATCTTCTGCATAGTAGTATTATACCCTAACACCTTGTTCATGATCAAAACTTCCACCAAAATTTTCTCGCGTTGATAATCTGGTGCTGCATTTTCTTTTTGTTTGAATTACCTTTGCTTCACGTTAGCCCAATGAAAGCTTGGAAAACTGACCTTCAACACTCATATCCACAGCTAGATCTGAGAATTGCAACAAGACTGAGTATAGCAGCCAAAGATGTAGAATCAATCGGGGCCTGAAAAGACTTGCACCTAAGCTTGTTTTAGAAAAGAATAAAAAGAGCATAGATAACAACACAAAACATATTTCTGATTATACATTTGACGTGACAACCAAGAGGCTATCAAATATAAACATTTCCTACCAAGTCGTCTCTCAATAAATAGTCCCATATATTGGATTATCACCAAACTCAATCTTTTCCAATTCGTTGACCACCTTCTTGAACCTTTCGCATCCCACCGTCTTCTTGAAACACCTGAGAAGGTTCAGAAATCTGGCTTCCAGATACCTACCAAATGAGGTATCATCACCAACGAGTAGTAAATTTGGTATAGATTAGCAGCGATTGGGAGGCCCAAAAATGAGGTATCATCACCAACGATGAAGTCCTTCCCAGAACCAGCAACATTCTTTTTCAACAATTGCAACGCAGCATGCCACTCGGAACATATTTCTGATTATTTATTAAAATTTATAATTAAACACAATTTTTTTTTTTTTAGAAAAAGAGTGATGTGCAAGAAACGTTGAGAAAACATCGATTGAGGGGGAGATATAGAGGAAGGAAATTGATGGAGGTGGTTAATATTTGATAGAAGAAACCCTACTACTAAGAACCATACTTGCCGGTAAAACCTACACTCACAGAGACTCTCTCAGATAAAAATTGGAGAACTGGTATTGATGAGGAATATGTTTATAAAGGCATAACTGCATGCTCTACTTTTCAACTGTAAATTATAAATAGGATAGTTACTTTTTAACCTTTGTCGAGTTGATATGTGGTTCTTGACTCTTTGTGACATTTCTTCGTCCATTGATTGAACGGACTTATAAAAGAAAACTACTGAATACATCAACTCATACAACTAACTTAACGTTGACTTATTAACATCTTAGTAAATGAAATAGATAAAGATTCATGAGAAGATGAAATGTGCGAAAAAAATTACGACATATAAAACAATTATTTTTAACCAATATAACAATGGATTATGACATATCGAAAAGAGAGATTGCCAGACATTGGATTGCACCAAAAAATGACAGCTTGTGAACAAACACAAAAAGGAAACTTATACAATAACTTAACATATTTAACCTGTATGTTGTGTTTTTATGAAACACGATAAAAAAAGCAGCACGTTGAGGATTATATTGAATGTCCCTATCTACTTATTCCATTTGTTGGATTACATTCACTTACACTTAATTACAGTAGCATACAAAAGAGACACTTAGTAGCTCCAAATTCAATTTTTTTTCCCGCTTGAACTCTTCCACGTTCTTTCATGAAAAACATTGCAAATTGCAAAAAAATGAGTGTAATCCTCCGGTAAAATTTACAGTTAATAATTGAGAGTAACTACTCCCAATTTTCAGCAACAATAATGTATCCCCAATCTCAGCAATAGCAATTCAACTGTATTGTTTCTAATCTCTAAAAAATAGGTAGAGGAAAATAATCAATAGTAAAACGATTTATTCAAGTCATATAGCAATCAAATACACAATTCGAGTTCCCTAAATGTCCCAAAGGAATGATGATTATTCTCACAATTATTCGATCATGATTAACCCATTCACCACCACATTATTAGGAATTTATGATGATAATAATAAGATAATCAGCCTCACAATTAACTATAAACTAATTTAGACTTAATATCATTTAAAAAAGGGGGATTGGAAAACAACTCATCGTGAAATCAGTAATCAAACTTAAGAAATGCAAATCATTAACAAAATCAATAAATTTAAAAGGTGTATCAAGAGTTGAATACTGCATTCTATTGATGCATATATGTCTATTTAAATATTATTAATTATGTTTCTCTCTCTAAAAAAATACGCTCTCACCACTCTCTAGAAACCCTAGCCTTGTCTGAAATCCACCATGGCGGCTCCTAAGCCACCGCAATATGGCCGGCAAAAGCAGCCATCTTTTGCTCAAATTCTAAACCTCTCCAAGCCGAATCCCCGAAGTATCATCCAATCGAATGAAAAACCTGTTTCAACAACCCCATTCAGTCAATCTAAACCAACAATGGTTAAAGCAGAACCTGCTTTCTTGCTTTCAAAAGAGGAGGATGACAAGCTTGCGGCTCCATTTAAATTTTGTTTGGTGGGTAAGTTCCCCAAAGGCAGGCCGAAGACGGAGTATATGTGGAGTCAATTCAATACAATCGGATATAAGGGAAGCTTCTCACTGGGCATGATCGATCACCGACACATCTTGATATATTTTGACCTCGAAGAGGACTTCCAAAGATGCTGGATAAAAGGAGTATGGTCATTCGATCATCACTTCATGCGAGTTCTCAAATGGACTCCGCGATTTAATACGGAGGAGGAATCATCAATCACGCGGGTGTGGGTTTCCTTTAAGGCTTACCGGTTCATCGATTCAATGAGGAATACCTCCGCAAATTGTCAAGCATAATTGGTAAGCCGCTGAAAATTGATGTCCCCACGCTTAAAATGTCGCGCCCCTCAGTAGCTAGGGATTGCGTTGATGTTGATCTACTTCATGAATTCCCGAAGCGAATTCTGTTGGGGATGGAAGAATACTTGTATTTTCAGAAGGTAACGTATGAGAATCTACCAGATTATTGTATGGAATGTCGTAAGCTTGGACATGCGACAATCAATTGTCGCCATGGTAATGTGAAGGCAGCGTCCGCGACTGCGACAATAGAAGAACTGCGCGCGAAGGTGGTTAATCAGTCGACAACTGGAATGAAGCAATCAGTGCCGAAAAAAGTAGGAATAAGTCTTCAAACAAAGCCTCCACCCCCAGAGCCCGTATGGAAGATGAAAACTCTCCAAGAGAAAGCTACTGTGCAGAATACAAAACAGCAAACAGAGGGCTCTTCATCAGGCCTGACCACCAAAGAAAAGAAGGATGTTCCTACGGATATTGGAAGTTTAAGCCCTTTAGTCCAACAAGAGAAGCGTCTCATCTCTAAAGAACGTTTAAGTGCTATTTTAGAGAAAAGTTCATAGGAGGAAAATCTGAAAAAAACATGGGAGGATGAAGGAATGGCCAATAATCAAGAGAATGCAGAAAGACAACTAATCGCATATACAAAGCCTTCGATTACAATCCCTCCGTTAAACTTGTCATCTCGGTTTGATGCCCTAGCTACCTATCAGAGGATCAGATTGATGATAAAGAAGAAGAACATGTACATTCTAAAGGGAATTTAACTAAGGAAGTGGAAAGCGAATCGGAAACAGAATTGGTCCTTGATGACGCGCGTAATGAGCTCCATTCCAACTATCTACTCAGGGAAGATGAGACAAAAGATGATGGAGACATTGGGATGAATGAATCAGCAGTTGAGGATATGCGGCTTGTGGTGTTTGATGGTGAAGAAATAAAGAAAAAAAGAGGGAGGCCGCGGGGTTCAAAAACCGGAGTAAAAGTTCAGGGTACAGAGACTCGTCGATCGACGAGATTGCAAGGTGACTCTCCACAAAAATTTCTCAATGAGTAACATCTTAATCTCTAACATTAGAGGTATAGACAATAAGGCATCAGTCGGACGACTAAAAAATCTGGTTGGAATGCATTCTATTTCAGTAGTTATTCTGCAGGAGCCTATGCAACTGGCGAGTCCAGATTCATCACCATCACTGGGCCGGCCCACCACTTGGCCTTGGGGTCGAGGCCTTCCCAATGTGGCGGTCTATTATTGTTAACCCTAGTAGGAATCGGACTTCTCCCAAGACTATAGATAGGGACCTTTATTCCGCACTAAAGGTACGCTATCTCAACTGTCATATCATCATACAAGCAACCCTACTTTTCTAACTTAAGCATCGGAGTGTCTACCCTCGGAAGACGCCCGAGGCTCTGTTTTGCAGGGAACCCTAGTTGGAGTTCCACCCTATACCGGCGGTGCAAATCCAGGTATCGTCAAGTGGCACGCCCAGTGGGACCCGAAAACTAGGGTTTGTGTCACCAAGCTTCTTTAAGCTTATTTCAAAACCTTTTCAAGCCGCTTCCAACGACCAAAATGATGGCGGGGGCCGACAGTCCCCGATCCAGTGTCGCGTCAACCGGCCGACAAGCGGGCCCCGAGGACGGTGAAACTTTGGCGCACTTCCAATGGAGACAGAAACGAAAAAGGAATGATCGCCAGAACAAAAAAGAAACCACTCCCGTCAAACCGATCGACCAGAATCGTCACCATGAAAACCCCGATCCATACCAAAACCAGCGGTTGGCCAAGATCAAAACGGAACTAAAACAGTTGAAGGATGAAAATTCCCTCAACCAAAGGAGGAAGAAATACATGCTCAAAGAGTACAGACGCTGTTGTTTGTTAGGACTTCCCGACCCAACGAAACAAGAGATAGAGGAATTAATCAAGGAAAAAGAAGCAAAGAGAACTCAGAACCTCCTCGAAATCAGAAGGGGCAAGCGTCCAGCAACAAACGGAGGAGAGGATCGAACTCGCAGAGAAACCCTCTCTCGAGAAGTCTCCTCCGATGAAAGTTCTGAAACCCGTGGGGATACTTTCTGGGAAGCACTCGAAAAGACAAACCCAGAGGTTTCCCAGGCGATTATTCAGTTTGCACAAGAGCACAAGCAGAAGAAACAACCTCCTACACAAGATCGCCAATAGTCACCTAGCGTCGAGGAGTTGTCTAGGAGAGAGTGGGAACCCCCCAGAAGAAATGCCCACTCTCGATTGGAACCAAAGCAGACGCGAGAGAAATCACAACATGGCCACCGTCGAGGAGGAGACCCTCCTCTCCGGGGTCAAGATAACAAGAGTAATCGAGATCCCTCGATTCGAGATTCGATGCGTAGGATGATAGGAATGATCGTTGATAGAAGTCCTTTCATCCCCAGGATTCGAGACTGCCCGAAACCCAAAGATTTTGACTTCTCCAAAGACTTCACCTGTTACACAGGGGATTCTGATCCTCAACGATTCCTCAATAAATACGTGCAAGTCATGAGAATTCGTAATGCATCCCTGGATTTCATGGCAAAAGCTTTACCATCATTCTTGGACAGGCAGGCACAGCGGTGGTTCGGACAGTTGCCAGAGGGAAGTATTGACAGCTTCGAGGATCTCACGGTGAAGCTAGCCACCAGGTTTTTCCTCAGCAAGCAGGTCACGAAAATGTCCATAGATTTGTCCTCCATAAGACAAGGACAAAACGAAAGCCTTTCGGGTTTCCATCGCCGCTTCACCCGTGAGTCTCTCCAAATTGACAATCTCGATGACAGAGACGTAAGGAATAGCTTCATCCAAGGACCCAACCCCTGGGGGAAGTCCACCCCCCTGCGAGTAAAGTTAACAACTAAGCCACCACAGAACACCGAAGAGATGTGGGCCACAGTAGAAAGCTATATCCAACGGGAAGAAACGCTAAAAAATTCCCAGGAATCCTTCTCAATCACAGGAGAGCGAGGAGGGAAGGACAGATATAAACCTCAGGCTGAGAATAAACCCTCGCTACCCAGGCTCGACAGGATACTGACTCCATTGATAAAGCCCCGACGGGAAATACTCCAAATCCATAAGGACGAGTTTCCAACTCCGAAGCCACTAACTCACAACCCGAATAGGTCCACGAATCAGTACTGTGAGTATCACAGGGATTACGGGCATGACACAGAGGATTGCCGAGAGCTCAAGCGAGAAATTGAAGCGGGAGTAAAATCCGGCAAATTCCAGCAGTATGTGCAAAACACGCAAGGAGCTGCTCGGGGAGATATCCGCAACCCTCGAGAGAAACCCGGCGGTCCCCGCAATTTCCCCAGCCGAAACAACAATCGGGGACCTCGGAGAGACAACCGAGAAAACAGCTGGCAACCAAGAGATAATACACAATATCCTGCTCAACCGGTCCTCGACAAACAACCACAGCCCATACAGCAAATACCTCCTCTCGATCCCGCTAAGCAGATCACCCACAATGTGGGAGCAATCTATGGAGCCCCTCTCGAAGTCCTCTCCACCACAGCATTAAAAGCCTCTGTTCGACAGGTAACAAAAACTCCACCACAAGAGCCAAGTCACAAACGATTCAAAGGAACTGAAGCGATCGTCTTCACCGACAGCGACGTCGTCCCCGACGTATGCCCCCACAGCGATGCCATGGTTGTCGAGGCCATCATAGGTAACGTCGGGGTGAGTCGCGTGTACGTCGACAATGGTAGTGCGGTCGACATCATCTACAGTGATTGTTTCAAGAGAATGAACATACAAAACCCAGACTTGCGCCCTGCTACCCTACCATTGATGGGCTTTTCCGGGCACACTATAATCCCAAGCGGGATCGTCAGGCTTCCAATCACGGTAGGGACGTATCCTCAAATGGTAAATCTAACCATGGATTTCGCCATAATTGATGCTCCCTCGCCATTCAATGTGATCCTAGGACGGCCGTGGATGTGCCAAGCCCGAGCTGTATGGTCATCTTACCACTTGGTCATGAAGTTCCCAACTGAATACGGGATAGGAATAGTCCAAGGCTGCCAACGTAGTTCCAGAGAGTGTCTTCTCACGGCAGTAAAAGTAGGAAAGAAAGCGATAAAGCAGGAGCTGGCAGTCACTCCGACAGGATGCTACTCAATTCAACAGGGCGTAGCACAAGTACAGAATAAAGAGACAAAGAAAGAAGTCTCGAGCGCGGATGTTGAGACAAACCCGCCACTCAGTAGTAAGACAGAAGAGTTAATCTTGGATGAGAAAGAACCAGGAAAAACTATTAAGCTTGGGATATCCATTGAGGGTACACTGCGGACTGAAATAATCGCCTTACTGCGGACTTTTCGAGACATCTTCGCATGGTCGCCATCCGACATGACCGGAGTTCCTCGACACATCATCGAGCACAAGCTAAACGTTGACCCCAATGTCAAACCAGTAAAACAAAAGAAGAGGATCTTCGCTCGAGATCGCAATAATGTAATTAACGAGGAAACCCTCAAACTAGTACGAGCCAACATCCTGAAAGAAGTGCTTTGGCCAACTTGGCTGGCCAACCCCGTCCTTGTCCGCAAACCTGACAATTCCTGGCATATGTGCCAAGACTACACGGATCTCAACAAACACTGTCCGAAAGACTGTTACCCCTTGCCCGTAATCGACCAGATGGTGGAAGGTATTACCGGCTACAGGACCCTCAGTTTCCTCGACGCTGATAAAGGATACCACCAGATTCACATGGCCGAGGAGGATGCGGAGAAGACTGCTTATATCACAGAGATCGGAGTATACTGTTACGACAAAATGCCGTTTGAGCTGAAAAATGCTGGAGCTACCTACCAGCGTCTGGTTAATAGAGCCTTCCATAATCAGATAGGAAGAAACATCGAGATATACGTGGATGACATGGTTATCAAGAGCAACTCAGACTGCAAAGTGATCGCGGATATGAAGGAGATCTACACGATCCTGTGCGAAATCAATATGAAACTCAACCCAAAAAAGTGCGCCTTCTGTGTAGGGTCTGGAAAATTCCTCGGATTTCAGGTATCCAAGGAGGGGATAAGCGTAGACCCTGCAAAGGTTGAAGCAATCCTATCAGTGGAAACTCCGAAAACTGTCAAGGACGTACAAAAGCTCACAGGATCCCTAGCATCACTCAACAGGTTTTTATCTCGAGCAGCAGAGAGAAGCCTTCCCTTCTTCAAAACCCTAAGAAAAGGGAAAGGTTTCCAGTGGACCGATGAATGTCAAAAAGCCTTTCAGGAGTTAAAAGAACACCTCAAGCGACTCCCTATGCTCGCAAAGCCACAACCGGGTGAAGTTCTATACATCTATTTGGCTGCCCGGGAAACAGCCATCTCCGTAGTGCTAATCCAGAAGAAAGATAGTAAGGAGCTCCCAGTTTATTTCGTCAGCAAAGTCTTACAAGGAGCAGAATCTCGATATACCCCCATGGAAAAACTTATCCTGAGTCTTGTGCTCGTTGCACGACGGTTGCGTCCATACTTTCAGGCCCATCCTATACAAGTCCTAACTGAACAGCCCATCCAGCAAGTCCTCCTCAAGCCTGAAGCATCAGGCCGAATGATGAAGTGGGCGGTCGAGTTGGGGGAACATCACATCGAGTACAAACCCCGTACAGCCGTCAAAGGACAGGCGTTTGCAGATTTCCTGGTAGAAATGCCTAGGGCCCCGGGAACCACGCAAGAATCTATTTCGAGGAAGCAGCTACGCGAACAACCCCCCACAGATCCTCGAGCCTGGACCCTATACGTCGACGGCTCATCCTGCGAGGATGGGAGAGGAGCAGGTATCATCCTAGCAAAACCAGTCGCATCTCGAGAAGTCGAAGAACTGAAGGAATACGAGGCAGAATATTCCTACGCTCTGAGGTTTGGATTCCCGGTCACCAATAATATTGCCGAATACGAAGCAATGATTACAGGGTTAAACGTGGCCCTCAAATTAGGAGTTCAAAACCTGCAAGTATTCAGTGACTCTCAGGTAGTGGTCAAACAAATCAAAGGCAAATACACAGTCCG